CTGCGCGTCCGGAGCCTGTGCTCCGCAACGGGATAGGCCACAACAGTGAGAGGCCCGCGTGCCGGAAAAAAAAAAAAAAAAAAAAAATGGGAGTGATACAGAAGCTAGTACAAGGGATAATGAGGCCTTGGGACTTATAATGTTCCATTATGGACGTTATGCCTTGAAGGGCTTCTTTATTTATAGGTGATTGATTAATTCTGAGAAGAGGTTTTGAGGTATCTATTTGAAGCTAGATGGGAGGTGTGCTGTGAATTTTGCCAATCAGTTGGAAATTTTGTCCGTAAGGAATGTAGTGGCTGATTCAAGAGGGACAAATGAACAGTGTTTCCAGAATCAGCTCTAGTACTGTAAAAAACAGAACAAATAAAAGTTGTCAAAGTGTCATTTAATTCACCTTGTTTGTTACTTTATGACTATTGTCAAATTCTAGAATTATTTCCCCCTTTTTGGAGAAAGAAATTCTGACATGATACTTCTCTAAGAACTCTCAGACTAATAAATGGGTAGAGGTGGAGGAACTAAGGAGAAAATGTTTAGGAGGGTTTAGGTTTCATTTAGGACCCTTCATTTGTTGGAGTTGATGATTAAGAATTTAGACAGTTTTCCTTGGAGGTGGCTCATCTAGAGTATTAGAGAGCTGGTTTGCCAGGTTAACTAAATCTGGAGTGGACATAGTTTCCCATTCCATTCTGATCCTTTTTCCTAGAAGGGAAAGGTCTCAGTTCAGTTCATTAAAAAACAGGGTGTTAAGAACTACCTGGTGAATTCAACATCTCAAGGAAGACCAGAATTTTCTTTAAAAACAATCTCATGAACAAGTTCATCAGATGTTTGTGTGCAAGCCTGAATTGTATTCTAATCAATAGGCTTTGGAAAAGCTCTAGGAATTGCCCAGTGAGGTTGCCTAGTGATTGCTCAAGCCTGATCTTATAAGTTAGTGGGCTTGTCTTCCAGTTGTAATTGTAGAGACCTTTCAGGATATTCCCAATTAGTGGTTTTCATCAAATGCCAGGCTGGCCTTCACTGACAAGCATATAAACTAGCTGATGGAAATCAGGAAAACCAGGTTGATAAGTTTAAATGACTATATTAAATTCCTCAGCAAGTCTGTGGGGCTCTTCAGTTACTTTGGGAAAAATCTTTGACTATGGCTTGCAGTTCACCTTTAGTCCAGGCAATATAAGAATTAAAGGTCTAGCTTCTGGATCCTCAGAAAGTTTAATCTTAAAGACACAGGTTCTGACAAGTTCAGAGGAAAAGGGTGTGGGGAAAGTTTCAGAGAAAAACGGAAGTTTGGTGAGGGAATTACTATGGGGGAATTGAAGGTATAGAGGAGGTGTGGACTGTGTAGAAGGGAAGGAGGAAGATGTTGCCGGATATGGAGTCTGTCCATGAGAAGTAGAGGGAAAGACAGAGAAAAGATGGCATCAGAGGCCAACTCTGAGTCAAAGAAGCCAAGGAAGAAGAACCTGAGGCTTTGGGAGCCATTTTATCTTTCTTTAATCATTTGTTTGCCTCAGTTCATCTTAAATTATTATTTTCCACAGAGGCAATTGTAGATTCCTGATAATGTTGGGAAACCTCAAAATACCAACCGAAATAAGCATTCCACCCAGTTCTGGAAAATTTTGGGCTATTGTAGTCCAATTTGGTTTTAAGGAAATTAAGTTTGGGGATTTCAAACGTTTCCCATAATGGCTATTGGTATTCTAAATTGCCTTTGGTCAGGTTGGCCCATTTAGTTAGAAATGCACATCAGGAAGGACCGCAGTTTTAAAACATAAAGTTGCCAGAGTCCCTGTAATGGAGGGTGCCCTCAAAATACTTAGGATCCCATTTATTAGAGGTTTTTCTGTAGAGTAAAGGACAATTTTCAAACAGTTCAAATGGCTTACAGCACCAACAGCTCAATCCAAACAGCTTGCAAGCTTGAATACCAGCCAATTCTAAGGAAACAGCTTGGTCCCAGAGGAGCCAGGCCAAAGGCTTTTTCATCCAGTTTCCAGAAGTAATAGGAACAGCCCCTGTTCCAAAGTAATAGGCTGAAAGCTAAAAAAAAAATCACAGTTTCAGAGAAGCAGCTCCTTTTTCTGGAGGAATTGGACTGAAAGCCTTTTTAACCAGTTTCTGTTTAAACAATCTGATCTTGAAATCAGACCAAGTTGCCAAATACTTGTATACAGAACCAGGTCTTAACCAGAAAGATGAAACCTTAAAATAGATCCCAAATGAAGCCTGGAAATCCTCAAACACAAAGAGCTCAGATCCAGGAGAAAGACAAACTTTAAAACTCCAGGGTTGGGGAGAAAGCAGTGAATGAGTGTGGGCTCAATTGTGGGCACCACACCTGTTTTCTCACCAACCCCATTGCTGTTAGTGGTCTTCTCTGGTCCCTGTTTAGGCCACCAAAATGTCCTGAAATAAAAATACTGCCAGATATTTCTCCATCAAAGATGGGTTTATTCTGGATCAGCAGAGAATTGCAATTTGGGGTCTGTAACTATGGCAAGCCAAGTACAAGTTCCTGTACAGCAAGAGAAGAACACTTTCATAGAGATGAAAAGGAAGTTGGGAGGGTTTTAGTAAACAAAGAATCCATGGCTTTTCATTGGCTTAGTCCTTGCTAGGAAAGGACTCTTCTTCCTGTTGGGCTCTGCTATCATCACAGGTCCTAAGAGCTCCCCGTTCTGATCTCTGGCCTCTTTTTAATTGAAGTTTTGATTTATTAGTTTTGTACACTGTGCCATCCAAACTGTTAACTTCTCTCCACATCCAATCCCTTTAGGGATGAATAATACAGGTGGAAGAAACCTGTATTATGTTCGTTGTGACTTAGGAGTATTGAGGAGGAACTTGAAGAATGTAGGCCCAGGAATTATTTTTTATCTTTTCTGGTCTGTAGTTAGATAGACCTACCATTTACTAGTTGTGTGACCCTGGGTAACTCATTTTTTCTTTCTGACCTTTGGTTTCCTTACTGTAAAATGGGCTACTATCTACCTTACAGAGTAGTTGTGAAGACTGAATGAGATAGTATGCATAAATATACTCAGCAGGGTATCTGATACATAACAGATGCTATACAGATATTTCACAGATGTTAGTTACTTCCCTCTTTTACCACTTGAAGGTCAGGAATTTGGAAAAGAAAGGATTGGGGATGAAAACAGCTGGTTATGTTGATATCAAAGGAGAGGACTTAGACTTGGTCTTAGCTAAGATGTGCTTCTGGCAGAAGGTTTCTCTCTCTCTCAATCAGTCTCTCTCTCTCTCTCTCTCTCTTGCTCTCTCTCTCTTTCTCTCTCTCTCTCCCTCTCCTTCTCTCTCTTTCTCATTCTTACTTTTTCACACATACACATTCTCTTTTTTTAAAGTACTTTGCTATGTGCTTTATGTGCATTATCTCATTTCTTGATCCTAGTAACTCTGCAAGGTAGGTATTATCACAATCCCTTCTATGCAGATGAGGAAACTGAGACTCAGAGAGATGAATTAACTTGCCCAGGTCTCACATTGAGTAAAGGTTAAAGTCTATAGCAGATGCAGAATTCTCACGTTCTCCATCCCAATACTAACCAAACACACAAAAAATGCCCAAGAAAGGAAAAACAAATAGAAGCCATTTTCTTTAAATCAGTTGCTTTATTTTCCTTTTCTCCACTCCCTGATGTCTTTTAGGTTCTTGGTAGTTGGATCTTTGCTTGCATTTATTGATGATACATGGTAACCCTGCCTGAATTTGGTGGCTGGACTAGATGATATTTCAAATTGGAAGTCCTGCTGTTTAAGCCAAGTGTTGGCCCACTCACCACCCCCATTGAGTAACTGATCCTGATTAGTTTTCTTTGCAGGCTTTCTTTCGCCCAGCTGAACCATCACCAAGAACTTCACCACTCAAAATCCTTCTGGAAAAATGCCACTCTCTGCCCATTTCACAGAGGATCCCCATGGAGCTGGATCAAGTGGGCTGGAGGAGACCCAGGAAGCTTTGCATAGGTATGCTTTTAATGCTGTTGTTTCTGAGGTGGGACATGCCAGGCAGGCCTCATTCATAGACAGATTGTGTTGACATTTACCCTACTTCTTCTACAATCCTTCCTCCCAGTTCCCTAGTACTCTTCCTTATTGGCACTTGAAAATTCACTGTTAGCAATGCCTGGGTGTAGATTTTCCCTCTCCATGTTCTTCTTTTATCAATAAAATGCAAATATCCTTATTCGAGGGACTTTTATCTCAATGCACTCAAATATCCCATCTTCTCAAATCCTCATTTTTCCCCCAGGACCTGTGTACCCAATACTTTCCAGGTCTCATAAACTCTAGTTCCTCCTCTTCATCCTTTTCACAATGATATACACCCTCCTCCTGGCCTCAAATGGACCAGTCCCATTATTTCCACCTCCCATGAGGTCATTCTAGCCCCCTCTCTCTTGCATCTTACTTAGACTTACTCTCTGTGGGTCCCAGGTCCTTCCCAGCTTCAGTGACCACTGACCATGGAAAACCCTTCAAGGCTCAAGGCAGCCTTCATTTACCTCACTCAAAACGCAGAGAATTCCCCCAGTCAACACCTCAGTTACCTCCCAGAGCTTCAGGGTACATCCTTTCTAACTCAGCTCACTGGCCCTGCCTGCCAGACTCTTGTCACTCACAAGTAAAGATTCATCACCTGCTACAAATGGGAGAATCAATGCTCTCTTGCACATGGACCTTAGACCACACACTAACAGTCCCCTAACAGGTCCCACCCCCAGTCCTGTATACAGCAACATATTTTGCAAGAATGCTAAGGACACACAAGACCTTGCAACATTCCTTTCCAAAGTTTTCTGTAGTGTCTACAAGCTCTGGGAACCTTGATCCCACTTCCCCATGACCCAAAGTTTCCCTCAACCCCAAAGTCTCTGTAGCTTCTCTGGACGTGACATTACTTTTCTCTTTTATTCTCCTTACTCCATGTGTGGAGGACATGTGGGATGCTTTGACTTGGAGCTTATTTCCACCCAGAAATTCCTTGCCAGAATTCCAGGAAGGTAGGAGCCAAAGAAATTGCATGCTTGGGTCTTTTGTAGCATCATCTCTCAGAAATCCCCAGAAGCCAGGGAGATGGTAAAAGGCAAGAGTGAAGAATTCTGAAGGGAGCTAATCCTTCACTGTAAAAGCTAGGAAGGTCCTTAGAGGTTGCTCAGTCCTCTTGTTTTATGAATGGGGAAATAGCCTCAGACAGGGGAAGGAACCTGCTCAAGGTCATAAGTCAGTAACGGAGTTATGACTGGGGGCTTCAACCTCCTGAGTTTCAGCCATGTCAGAATGTGATTTTACTCCAGTTCTAGAGCAAAGTCTTAAACATTGGAATTCCAAGCCTTGCTTCCATTCAAGCTCACCTGTACTGGAATTGCCAGCCACTTCCTTCCCCTTTAAGAAGACTTCAGGCGGTGGGCACAAATCAAGTCATCAAGGCAGCAGCCTGCCATATTTTCTATGTCCTCTGCCTGAGAATAAGGCACTCACGTGCAATCCTCAGGGAGATCAGGCCAGGGGGCCTAAAGCAGGGGATCTGGTCACAGCTGTTTCCCTCCTCCCTCCCTTTTAGGAAATGAACCCAACCCCCTAGCTATTCAGAGGCTTTTTAACAGCTGCTACCACTCCACTGCCAAGTGCATCAGAGTGCCCCACCCCCACCACATTCTTGACTGTTAACAGTAAATAACAGTCCCTTAGGGGAGGGCCTGGCAAAGTTTAGGTTAATAGCTACCTTGTGGACTGCTCTGGGCTTATTTATGAGCCATGGGTGGGAAAATATACCCCTGAGTTTGGCACAGATCCTGCCATCACCTCAGCAGCCACTGTCACCTCAGGGATATAAGTGGCTCCCACGTTGCAGCTTTGCTTCTCAAGGTCCCAAACAGACACTTGGGTTAAAAATATCCCTAGGGAGGAGGATGACATCAGGATCTCATTTGGGAAGCCCACTGTCATTCAGCTCCTCTTATAACCCTGACCTTGATGGCAATGAGAGCCAAGGATCCCATTCCCATTATGTTTAGTACCTGTTTTACTTCCACATTGCTCAGGGCCTGAAGGACTTCAGTTTGTTTTTTAGTGCTCAGTCTCTGTCCTTCCATCTTTCTCTATAAACACTCCTACAGGCTCCTTCCTCTCACCTTGCAATCAGGAGGTTCCCAAAGCAGACTATTATAGTGGAAAGAGAATCAGCTTTGGAGTTGAACAGACCCAGGTTCAAATTTCTGTTCTGCCACTGTGGGCAAGCTGCATAACCTCTCTGGACATCAGTTTCACCATCTGAGGAATGAGATGCTGGATAACCTCTGACTCATTGGATCATTATGAGGATTGAGTGAAACAGAATCTATAAATGTCCCTGCCACAGTTTCTGGCTTGTAGGGTATGCAGTGATGGCAGTTTCCTTCTCCCCACTGCCCTCTACCAATTCCATATGCCCAAGATCTTACCCCACATGCACATACACATACATCACTGTGGGGCCCAACCTGAATTTGCCTTAGTACATGAGCTACTTCCTCTCATTATTCATTCATTCATTCAATCACTCACTCACTTACTCACTCAAGAAACAAACATTTACTGAACAAAATTAGAAAGTCAGTGGAGTTTTCCTTCTGATGGCCTGGTGTGCTGGAAAGGGCAAAAATTTTGAAGTCACATATATCAGGATTTGACTCTTGGCCCTGTCACTTATTAGCTGTGTGACCTGGAATAAATCACTTTACTACTTTGAGACAGTTTTCTTTTCTGTAATATTAGGATAATAATTTGAACCTCACAGGCAATGCTATAAATCTCAAAAGGAGTAACAAACATAAAAGTGATTTATAAGCTCTGAGGTGCTATACAACTAGATAGGAATGATAGTAATAGCAATAACAATAAAAAGTTAGAAATATGAGTTATGTCTTGCACCTGTCCAGGCCCCTAACATAGTTGATAATCCATATATATCTGTTGATGGCAATATTAGAAGTCAAGATTTACTTTCTTTTTTTTTTAACATCTTTATTGGAGTATAATAGCTTTACAATGGTAAGATTTAGTTTCTAAATGAAGTAGGAGGGGTTCCTACTTGAAAGGACCAGAATCCCAGAAGTAGACTCCATGCAAGCATTACCCTTATCACATCATCCCGCATATTTGCTGAGCTGTGCTCAAATCTCTTGAAGTTTGGCTGACTTAGAGGCCTGTTTTGGCAGTGACATTTCTCACTGAGGACCTATCCCTCTCAGTAGGGGTAGCACTGGGTTGGTGCTGACCTAGGGTGTTGGAGCTACAGCAAGAAGAACCTAACACTCTGGGGCAAGTTGTAAGCAGTCGTAAGCAAGACACTGGCTCTGACAAGGTAAGAATAAATTGAGGTGTCTTTACCCATTATTTGAGTATTTCTGTGGTGATGGTATCATTTAGACATGTTTGATAACTGAGCCAGATGTCAGAAGACTTAAGTTCTGTTACTGGTTTTCTTTTTTCTAATTGAAATATAGTTGATTTACAGTACTATGTTAGTTTCAGTTGTACAGTATAGCGATTTACTATTTTTGCAGATTAGATTCCATTCTAGGTTATTACAAGATAATGGGTATAATTACCTATTCTATACAGTATATCCTTGTTGCTTATCTATTTTATATATAACAGTTTGTATCTGTTGAACTCATACTCCTAATTTATTGCTCTCCCCTTAGGTAACCACAAATTTGTTTTCTATGTCTGTAAGTCTATTTCGGTTTTGCATATAGATTTACTTGTATTATTTTTTAGATTTTACATATAAGTGGTAGCATAGAGTACTTTTCTTTCTCTGACTTATTTGACTAAGAATAATACTCTCTGGTCCATCCATGTTGCTGCAAATGGCAATATTTCATTCTTTTTTATGTCTTTGGGGTATATTGTGTTTCCATATAAATTTTAGGATAATTTGTTCTAGTTCTATGAAAAACGTCATGAGTATTTTGTTAGGGATTATATTAAATCTGTAGATTGCTTTGGGGACTATGGCCAGTTAAACAATATTAATTCTTCCAATCCAAGAGCACTGGATATTTTTTCATTCCTCTTATCATCTCCAATTTCATTCATTAATATTTTATACTTTTCAGAGTACAGGCCTTTCAACTCCTTGGATAAGTTTACTCCTGAGTATTTTTTTTAACATCTTTATTGGAGGATAATTGCTTTATAATGGTGTGTTAGTTTCTGCTTTATAACAAAGTGAATCAGTTAAACATACACATATGTTCCCATATCTCTTCCCTCTTGCGTCTCCCTCCCTCCCACACTCCATATCCCACCCCTCTAGGTGGTCACAAAGCACCCAGCTTATCTCCCTGTGTTATGCGGCTGCTTCCCACTAACTATCTATTTTACGTTTGGTAGTGTATATATATCCATGCCACTCTCTCACTTTGTCACAGCTTACCCTTCCCCCTCCCCATATCTTCAAGTCCATTCTCTAGTAGGTCTGTGTCTTTATTCCCCTCTTACCCCTAGTTTCTTCATGAACTATTTATTCTTAGATTCCATATATATGTGTTAGCATATGGTATTTGTTTTTCTCTTTCTGACTTACTTCACTCTGTATGACAGACTCTAGGTCCATCCACCTCACTACGAATATCTCAATTTCGTTTCTTTTTATGGCTGAGTAATATTCCATTGTATATATGTTCCACATCTTCTTTATCCATTCATCCAATGATGGACACTTAGGTTGTTTCCATCTCCGGGCTATTGTAAATAGAGCTACAATGAACATTTTGGTACATGACCATTTTTGAATTTTGGTTTTCTCAGGGTATATGCCCAATAGTGGGATTTCTGGGTCATATGGTAGTTCTATTTGTAGTTTTATAAGGAACCTCCATACTGTTCTCCATAGTGGCTGTACCAATTCACATTCCTACCAGCAGTGCAAGAGTGTTCCCTTTTCTCCACACCCTCTCTAGCATTTATTGTTTCTAGATTTTTTGATGATGGCCATTCTGACCGGTGTGAGGTGATACCTCATTGTAGTTTTGATTTGCATTTCTCTAATGATTAATGATGTTGAGCATTCTTTCATGTTTTTGTTGGCATCCTGTATATCTTCTTTGGAGAAAGGCCTATTTAGGTCTTCTGCCCATTTTTGGATTGGGTTGTTTGTTTTTTTTTGTTATTGAGATGCTTGTAAATCTTGGAGATTAATCCTTTGTCTGTTGCTTCATTTGCAAATATTTTCTCCCATTCTGAGGGTTGTCTTTTGGTCTTGTTTATGGTTTCCTTTGCTGTGCAAAAGCTTTTATGTTTCATTAGGTCCCATTTGTTTATTTTTGTTTATATTTCCATTTCTCTAGGAGGTGAGTCAAAAAGAATCTTTCTGTGATTTATGTCATAGAGTGTTCTACCTATGTTTTCCTCTAAGAGTTTGATAGTGTCTGGCCTTACATTTAGGTTTTTAATCCATTTTGAGTTTATTTTTGTGTATGGTGTTGGGGAGTGTTCTAATTTCATACTTTTACATGTAGCTGTCCAGTTTTCCCAGCACCACTTATTGAAGAGGCTGTCTTTTCTCAACTGTATATTCTTGCCTCCTTTATCAAAGATAAGGTAACCGGGCTTCCCTGGTGGCGCAGTGCTTGAGAGTCCGCCTGCCGATGCAGGAGG